TGTCATAGCTGCACATTCTTCTAGTTGCTGTATGTGGGACGCGGCCTCAGCGTGGCCGGAGAAGCGGTGCGTTGGTGTGCGCCCGGGATCCGAACCCGGGCCGCCAGCAGCAGAGCGCACGCACTTAACCACCAAGCCACGGGGCCGGCCCCCTGCCTTTCTCTTAAAAGGACATTGACTTAGGGTCCACCCGGATAATCCAGAACGATCTTATTTCAAGATCCTTAACTTAATTAAATCTGCAAAAGACGCTTTTTCCAAATAAGGTAGCATTCACGGGTTCCACGGATTTGACGTGGACGTAGCTTTTTGGGGGCCATCATTCAACCCACTATATGTGGGATGCAGATACATGCTGGAAGCAATCAGAGGAAGTTGTTGGAGGAGGTGAGAGAAGAGCTGGCCTTAAAGGCCAGAGGGTCTGACACAGCCTTCTGAATGCCCCCGCTTGGGCCGGAAGAAAACGGAGTTGAAATGGGGAAAGACAGTGGGAGGATGAGGGCGTGAGAAACACACACAACTCACCACCACCTTCCAGATGCTTCTTTTCCTTTCACTCATCAACAGCTCTCACTACCTATGGAAGGTCTGAACACAGACCCCGGATATCACGGAGAATGAACTTTCCAGGCCAGTGTGGGGCCCTGGCTAAAGCTGCCTGTTTATAATAGTTTGGGTGGGGGCTGCAGGAACCCACACGTAACAGACTTGCATCAACGGCCCAGCCGACCGTGACTGGAGGAAGCAGAACCGAAAGGGGAGGCCGCCTCCCTTTTCTTGGAGTGGGACAAAGGCGGGGGGCGGGGGAGGAGAGTTCCACCTCTCCCAACACACTGGCCTCAGAACCAACACCAAACAATCTACTCTCCTCTCCAGGGAGGGGACCTTGCCTGCCGCCTGCCTCCCCTTTCCAATCTCTGGCATTTACTGAGAGCCTACATTGTAGCAATCTGCCTCTTTTCCCGGGGCAGAGAGGGCTGGTGGCAACAGCTGCGGACTGACCCCAGCAATTCCATGAAGCAGTTGTGCAACTTTGGTCAAGTTACTCAAACTCTCATTTTCTCTCAAGGCGTCAGGTCTGCCAGGGACCTTCAAGCTCAATCTCCTTCATTCTACAGAGCAGAAGATGAGACCCTGAGAGGAGACGTGCCTTGCACAAGGCCCCACAGCCTGCTGGTGGCTGAGCCTGCACCTGATCCCCCAGCACAAGACTCCCAGTCCAGTGCTCTTTCCTGCCAATCAAAATGTTTCCATTCAAATGAACACCCTCATTTATCTAGGCCCACGAGTAGGCAACAGCTCCCACCACAGATGGGCGATGGCAGGAGGTGCAGTGGGGAGGAGCCTGAAGAAGTCTAGCCCAGCCTCACTGATTGATGGCTCAGTTTCAATCTTTGGACAACATCGCCAAATGTGATCCAAGACCAGAGAAACATGCTGACAGAAGAGAAAGGCGGCAACTCGTGTGAGCTTTGGAGTCAAACTGCCTGCCTCTCTACCCACTCTACCTACCAACTCACTGCAACCCGGGCAAGTTCATTTTTCAAACCTCTTGGAGCCTCAGTTTCCTCATCTGTAAAATGGGAATACTAATACAGGGTGACTCAAAGGATTAGGTGAGTTAATTCTCTTAAAGCCCTTAGGAACGTGACTGGAGGTTAGTAAGTGCTTAATGAATGGAAGCTTAGAGCAGCATCCAACACATACACGATGAGCACAAGTATGAGCACAATATGGGGAACGGCCATTCCTGTTACTATTATTAGCTCCTCTCTTACTCTCTGAGGTTGACAAAGGGATCCTTTCTCTTCCATTCCTGCCTGAGACAGCACATGGCGAAGCCAAGCTTTCTGTTCTTTTCTTTTTTTTTCTTTTACTTTTTGTGAGGAAGATCAGCCCTGAGCTAACATCCATGCTAATCCTCCTCTTTTTGCTGAGGAAGACCGGCTCTGAGCTAACATCTATTGCCAATCCTCCTCCTTTTTTTTACCCCCCAAAGCCCCAGTAGATAGTTGTATGTCATAGCTGCACATCCTTCTAGTTGCTGTATGTGGGACGCGGCCTCAGCATGGCGGGAGAAGCGATGTGTCGGTGCGCGCCCGGGATCCGAACCCAGGCCGCCAGTAGCGGAGCGCGTGCACTTAACCGCTGAGCCACGGGGCCGGCCCTCTGTTCCGTTCTATAATGAGACCCTACAGACCCCATAGGAACAAGAAAGCCCCACAGCCAGCAGTGCAGTCTGGAAGGTCTGATCACGGCCCCCATCACCACCACTGAGAAGGTGCCTGGGAGAAAAGTCACCCAAGGGCCTGAGTTCTGTGTTGTTGGCTCACCCTGGACAAGAGAAAATCTCCTCTCAGATTCCACCAACATTCACCTTGGCACCTCCCTTCCTGCTTCCCCAAGACAAAGCCTGTAGGTTATGCACTTCCTCTCCAGTACACAGGGGTTTGCAACTCCCGGTGGCTTCCTGCCTCCACCCTCATCTGAGCTCCCAAAGAGCCCCAGGGAGAAGGCAGGATGGTACTGCGCTCACGTGATGAGGACGAGGCTCAGACACCTCAGTGAAACGGCTCGTCCAGCATCACCTGGTAGGAGAGCCTGAGTCTGAGGCCTGTCTGGGAGGCATTAGGCAAGTGACTTAACCTCTCTGAGTATCAGCTTCCCACCACTAGATCGGGATAATGACACTTACCTGGAGGACCGTGGAAAGGCCAAGAGGGGCTCTGCGTGGGGCGCCAGGCACCCGGGAGGCCATGACCACAGGAAGCCCACTATGCTAGGAAGCCTCAGAGCCGGGACTCAGACCCGAGTCTAGGCTCCCAGTCTAGGTCTCCCAGGGCCACAGCGCCTCCCGTTCATGACAGGATCTACGTGCATCTTGGCCTGGGACTCCTTGGTGTTCCCACAACCATGTTTCCTGTGCCTCCAGATGTTTAGGAGGTCTTCAAAGCCCCCTCAACTGGACTCTTTTCCCCACCTGCAATTCCAGAGGGGGCTGGGGGCAGAGATGGCCCTGATCACCCCACTGCAGCTGCCCCAGCACAGGGCAGACCATCCAGGCCAACAGCCCCGTGAGGGCAGGAGCCCT